CGCAGAAAACGTTCAGTTTAGTTCAGTTTGTGCAATCATTAACCATGCACTATCATGCACTGGTTTGGGTTGCTGTCTTTTGGCCTCCCATTTGGATGAAGAATAGGACAAAGAAAGCAAGGCTGAAAGTAGTCGTACAAAAAATGAAGAACTTCAGTAGTCTAGGGTTGAAAAAAATTGAGAAGATGCATGAACGCCACTGTTTATCGTGAGTTTTTGTTGTCGGTGGTTTTCTTGCGGTTGTTTGTCAGGCTTAAGGCAAATTTGGCTCGTAACAAGACGCGATCTGTATCCACAGAATTTGAATAGTAAGAGCGGTAGTCTTGAATTGATCCCCTTCTGCGGTAACTGTTGACGATGTGGTCTTTTTCGGTCCAGCGCTGTGAAGCGGTTGGCGGTCTCCATGTAAGGCGGTGTCGTTTCTTGTGCGAGAAGTTTGTGCTTGACAGGAACAGTCCATGGTCCTCGCAGAGTTGAAGTAGGCGATCTCTGTGGTCCGTCCGGTTAGCCGGGATTGCATGCGGTCCGCCAAGAAGCCTTTCTGATTCGACAAGGAACCCCTCTTGAGCATTGAAGTCTCAGGCGACTGCTTTGATATCCGTTGACTGAACACTTAGGAGTAATTGAGAAAGTTTCTGGTAAAACTCATCCTTGATTTCGGTTGTTCTGCAATCGGTCGGTGCATACATCGATACGAAGAATAAGCATTGCTGCTTCATTCTGTAACTATTGACCTGTGCTTAGTCGTTGAGACGTACAACTCACAATCGAATAATGACTGGAATCCGATCAATAAGCAAGCTCTCAGCCTTGGCACTTAGCGCAATCTCAACACCAGTACCACTGCGAGCTTCGGGTACCGAATCACCTGACATAGAAGGTGAACCGTGAGGTCGAGGTTGGGTTAGGAGAATGCAGATAGATGAGTGAAATAGGGTTTTGTATGCGTGTTTTGGGGGCATAGAATACATATAAATTGAAAGTTTCAAGGGTTCTAGCTAAGGCAGCCTGTTGATCGATCTGAAAGAGTCCACAGACATTAAACCCAGCTAACTGAAAAGGGAGTTTTGGGTTCAAACATCCTGTAACTTCTGGCGTTTGGGCCTTACTGGTGAAATGCTGAGTAAAATTCAATGGGTGGCGTAAGCAGGACCAGTCTGGGATTATTCGGGATTAAAAGGAAGAACTAAACAGATCGGAAAGAGGGTTTTACAAATGGATGGCTAAGACTTTAGGGCACGGCATACTTCGCGGCAGCCCACATCGATTGTGAGACAAGAGCCAGCAGGTCACCGGTGAAACGATGGTGTTGGAAACCATACTGGCGGTCGCTCAGTAGTCCTTCATGTTCAAGGAGTGTGCGTAACTGGTCAGAGATGATAGTTTCAAATACTTTCGAAAGGACAGATGTGAGGGAAGCGGGTTGGTAATTGTTAGAGTCAGAAAGGTCACCGCGTTTGGAATGGGGAAAATCATGGTGTGTTTCCAGGGGGTTGGAAAGGAAGAACGTTGAAGGAAAAGACGGAAAGAACGAGGTAAAATAGGAGTTAGCTCGAGAGCACACACCAAGTGGTTTGTTTGCGTTTAGAGAGCGCAATGTTTGACGGATTTTCCCAGTGCTAACATGAGGTAGAAAGGGGTTGCCATTGAAGAAGAACGAAGGCGTAGGTGCAGAAAATTGAAGCCATTCTGTATAGCTCGCAGAGTTATGAAGGCACGCAAGCCATTACACCGCTTCAGGGTGCAGTCTCGTCGTGATGGGCAGAAAACGGAAGCATATTATGGCGCAACAAAAACAACGCTCATCGTTGGAAAACCCCGAATGGTTCCTTACTAAATTCGGTATACGTATCACATAATGCCTTTGAAAGCTGCAGTCAAAATAGTCTACATCTACACTTAGGGATTCTGATAAAAGGTAAAACTGATTAGGATGTTAGTTCTATTGGATCAACTTGAGTCAATCGCTTTAATAAATCACCGGGATCAGAACCTGAAACATCCTGAGACACAACTCTTTCACTGAGTCCCCAAGTCAACTCAGACTGTGCCCTTTTATTTTAGTCAAAACGATTAGTGAACTAGGCCGGGTGTAACTCAGAACAACCAGAAGGGTGGGAAGACAAAGAGATCCAAGTAAAGAAGGATCATTGTGAAGACCTTCTAGATGGTCAATGGATCACTCCCACAAATTCAATCTTTTCTTTGCCCGTGTACACTTAGCAGGGTAGAAAGCCGTTAGTTCTATAACTTATATTGTTTTCACGAATTGAATTAAGGTGTTTCAAAAAGTGGTGCATAGAACGGTGCTGAATAAACCAACAATTATGGGCACTAAATACCCTTTTCTTTCTAACATATAGGTGAATTTTCGTGCAGGTTTCACAGGCCCTTTAAACATGACGAACTGCTTCAGTTAATGTTTTGTGGACCGCCTACCGAGATCAATACTGTTTCTTTTATCGATCAGCAACCTACCGGGCATTTGTGATTCTGGATAAATTCTATATGCCGATGATCTCCCAATTTGGCGGGCAATTAATCAGACAATAATGAAGCTGCGCTGTGCTAAGACCTAAATACGTTGATGGGGCAATCTGCTGGTTAGATAGCAGACAAAATGAATAAACGAGAAATCGGCCGACATGCACCTATTACAATCATTTTCATGCGCCTACAAGTCTTCTGAGGCACTCAGAATTGACTATAACCACTTCATCCATATTAACTATCCTTTATAAAGAGAATAAGAATAAGCAAACTTTGGTTTACAAAGCGGGAGCTCCCTTTAATTTAATTCAAGTTGTCCAATTACTCAAATGCATATTATCAAATTACACGAAATTATCGTCAATTCCACTCACCCGCTGAACATATTTATATTCTCACCTTCCTCAAACATCTGCTAGGTCTGAATCTATTTTTATTTTCTTAAATATAAAAGTACACTGTAGCTCTACGATAACCTTTTTAACAAGTATTCTGGTGAAGAAAGAACAGGGTTTGCAGGCTTTCTTGAAAGTTTCAAGACAACTATATGTACCCTATTGTTCACACCGGAATACCAGTCTACTCCGCGATTGAACATACTAGCTTAAAATGAAATTCCCGGTTTTCTAGGCAACTAGTAGTGTCCCCCAAGGGTGGATAATAGGACCACTCTTCTTTTTTTCTTATTTGTCAACGACCTTACTGAAGAGGTCGAAAATCCATGCCTCATCTACACAGATGACGCCAAAATATTTGGCGGCTCATCCAATCGTCACTCAATACAAGAAGACTTAGACAGGCTTTCAACTTGACTGATAAGGTGAGTCCTGCCATTGAAAGTAATCAAATGTTATGTTCTAAGTAAAAATGCTCCCAAACACCCTCTAAAGCTTAGGCTCTCAAACCAATAAGCACATACTCTAAAATAACAAAGGCGTGCCGAAGACCTTGGAATAACAGTTAAATCCAACGAACAGTGTGCCAAAGCAGCGCACAAGGCTCGGAGACGGCTATCTGCACTCCGAGCTGCAATAAGCAGAAGAGAAGCCGAGGTATTAATTCTTCTGTAAAGGGTGCTCGTAAGACCTAACCTAGAATACTGCACCCAAGCTTGGACTCCCTATCGAGTAATGGACGCAGACAAATTAGAAAACTTGCAGCGGCTAACCACCAGGATGGTTCGTACAACCAAAGAGCTCTCCTACAAAGACCGGCTCCAGTATCCAAATCTCTTCTCTCGACACCGGAGACATTTGAGAGGGGACTTGATCGAAGTTCTCATACAAAAGAAGAACGCCAATCTAGGTCTCCTGCTGGTGAGATCCACGTGGGAACTAAGGGGCCACGAATACGACCTATAAATGGACAGAGGCAGGTTGGGCGTAAGNGGAAAAATTCTTTACCAACAGCGTTGTCTACTACTGGAATCGCCTTCGCGGAAGGCGTGTTCACTTGAACACAGTGCAAGCTTTTAAGATGGAACTAGATCAAAATTGGATGGAAACCTTTCCAGAGGTCATTTAAAAAGATACCAGGAATACGCTTCTTCTTTTTATCTCTTCCTCTCACGCCTGTCGCATTATGTTGTTCGCAAGCACAAAAAACACTCACTAGAACGCTTGTGCATGCATAAGTGTCTCACTGACTCAGCGAGAAGATAATGTGTTCTCTTTCTTTTCAGAACTGCCGAAAACAGGCACGACAGCTACTACATCCGAAGCTCGTATCCTCGGAAGTATCAACCGTGCTGTAAGCCGGACAAACGCACAGCTCAATCGGTCCGTCAAAGAGGTTAAAATCAGATCAACCATAAGGCTGAGGCGGCTACGTCTTGGAAAATTGGATTGAACAGAATTAAACACCAGATATTTTCTTTCTTTTTCGAACACAGTTTTAATGTTGTAAATATAAAGCGACGCGAATTGGAGGAATCATCAAGGAAAACAAGATGCACTTTCGCCTGCATAATAGAGTGTTAACTTATTGGAAGAGTAATCAGCATTATGATTGTAAATATACAGTCGTATGTATTTACATAATTATATATACCATATATAATACATGTATACATAATATACATACAATCATAATTGTGCGTTATATTTATGAATGCAATACACAAACATAATTATAAAATTTTACCCCTGATAGAAAAACCGTAAAAATCATTATAAAGGCGTAATTACGTATGTGCATATATTTAATTATAATTCTAAGTATTGTAAGTATACTTACAAGCCCGATTCCATAGGTATATAAACGGATCCATAACCTCTAATAACATCCTTTCCGAAAACATCAATTCCATAGGCATGAACTACCAGCTGCGGCCCTGAGATCATATAGGATATAAAAAATAATTAAACGAATTCGGAAGGTTAAATACATCCACTTGGATTTGAGCTCTTCCAAGAAGCATCAAGAGGAAAGTTGAATATGTGCTCTTGATTAGGATCGGGACCTTTCATGGATGTCTGCGTCATTCCTTCTTCCATGCCCTAGTTGATAATTTGGTAGCTAAACTCAATACATACAGCAATGTTCAACCAATCCCGTCCATAAGAATAACAATACTTACACCAAATATAGTTACATCCGGGGAACTATTCTTGATAAACTAATTGAAATTCTTACTTTTGCCTGGCTGATTTGACCAGTAATTGAAAGCATGAAACAGTCACCACTCGTTGTCATATTAAGAAAGGATGCTAAACTAATCAAAGGTCACTTTCGTATACTTGATACAACATAACAAATTCGAATCACAGAACGTAGAGAGGCCTTCGCCTGTTGGGTGTCCTGGTAACAGAGGGTTCCGTCTGTGGACTGACTCGTCTGTGAGTGTAAAGCTTCTTCCGACTCTCCACGAGAGAGTAATATCCGGAAGGTAGAAGCGAAAGGGAGACGGCGCAGTATCCGTTACATGTATTCCGTCAGTAAACTAAGGGAACCCGGATCCCTAGGGCAGTCCTGGGAATAAGAGATACCAATCCTTGTCTAGCTCCAGTTTGAAATCCTTCATTGTGGGACATTCAACTATTCGAGCTGGTAGTTTGTTCCATGTAGGGACTGCTCTATTTGCAAAGAAGAACTTCAGCTTAAATCAGCTCAGTTTGTACAAGATGAATATGACTCGTCCCAATGAAAGTTCAGTTCATTAGATTCAGTTTAGTTCGATTAGTTTTCAGAATCCAATCCAAGTCGATTTTCCAGGACTTAGAGGCCTCGGCCTGATTCTGGCTCAACCGATCAAGCTGTATGCTTGACCGGCTTACAGCACATTTGATAGTTCTGAAATCGTCCGAGGATGTGATATTCGGGCGTAGTAGTTGTCTCACCTGTTTTTGGCAAGGCTGAGAAAGAGAGGGAACAAACTGTCTTTTCGTCGTGTCGGTGAGACTTACACCTAGGCGTAATCGTTTCTGTGTGTGCATGCTGCGCATGCGCGCCACGTTGTCAAACGTGTGGGGGGAGAATAAAAGAAGGAGCTTGTTTCTCTTATGTTTTAGATCACTTCTGGAAAGGTCTCGGCCCATACTCTATCTAGTTCCACCATAAAGGCTTGCATTGTGTTTAGTTGAACGAGTCTTCCAGGGCGGCGATTCCGGAGGTTGACCACCCTGTTGGTGAAGAAATTTTTCCTCACATCCAACCTACTTCTGTTCTTTTCTAGGTGATATTCTTGGCCCCTTTAATCTCTCGTGGATATCAGAGGTAGGAGACCTAGCTCGGTGTTCTTCGTTTGTCTGAAGACTTCAATCAGTTTTCCTCTTAGACGTCTCCTACGCATAGAGAAGAGGTTCAGGTGCCGAAGCCGGTCCGCGTAGGATAGCCCTTTGGTTTCACGAACCATTCTGGTGGCCAACTGTTGCTTTTATTCTAACCTCTCTATGTCCATTACTCGGTAGGGAGCCCGAGCTTGGACGCAATATTCTAAGTGGGGTCCGACTAGTGCCCTATACAGATGGATGAATACATCGGCCTCTCCACTGGTTATTGCAGCTCTGAGTGCAAACAGCGCTCTCCTGGCCTTCTGGGCTGCTTAAGCGCATTGCTCGCTAGGTGCAAAGCTGGCTGACACTGCAATCCAAACATCATTGACACATCTCTCTTGTGTCAGAGAATCTGTTTCTTGATTTGGGAGCGTAAGCAGCAGGGGGTTCCGGAGCACTTTTGCTTAGAACACAAGATTTGGTTGCGTTCAGCGGCAGATCCCACCGTACCATCCACGCTGAGAGCCTGTCTAAGTCGTCTTGTATTGGTTGACAACTGGACGAGCCGCCAACTATTTGACG